GCTAATAAGGTTGGTAACACTGTAAGTATACTTCTCGGATATGGCAATGGTTCTTTAGAAAACCAAGTGGCATATTCAACTGGCTCTTCGCCGTGCTTTGTAACTGTTGATGATTTCAATAATGACGCTCGGCTGGATATCGTCGTCGCTAATTACTACGACAAAAGTGTAAGTACCCTTCTTGGATACGGCAATGGCTCTTTCGCAAATCAAACGACCTATTCAATTGACTTTAGTCCATTTCCTATTGCTGTTGGTGAGTTTAATAATGATGCCCGGTTGGATATCGTCATCGCTAATGGACAAGACTGTACTGTAAGTGTCCTTCTCGGATGTGGCAATGGGTCTTTTGCAAATCAAACGACATATTCAACTGGCTTTCATCCAGGCTCCATAGCTGTTGGTAATTTTAATAACGATACAGGATGGGATATCGTCGTAGCTAATTTAATTGATCACACTGTAAGTGTACTTCTCGGATACGGCAATGGCTCTTTTAGAAACCAAATGATATATTCAACTGGCTTTCATCCAGTTTCCGTAGCTGTTGGTGATTTTAACAACGACACTCTATCGGATATCGTCGTTGCTAATTATGATGGCCACACTGTAAGCATACTTCTCGGATATGGCAATGGCTCTTTTGAAGATCAAAAGACATATTCTACTGGCTCTTATCCATTTTGTGTAGCCGTTGGTGATTTTAATAACGACACCCTACTGGATATCATCGTCGTTAATGCTGGTAATCACACTGTAAGTGTCCTTGTCGGATTTGGCAATGGCTCTTTTGAACATCAAACGACATATTCAACTGGTTCTACGCCAACCTCTGTAGCTGTTGGCGATTTTAACAATGATACCAGATCGGATATCATTGTCACTAATTTCAATGACCATACTGTAACGGTACTACTTCGGTATGATAGAGGAGCTCTGAAAGACACACTCACCTTTGCAGCTGGTGATGGTTCCCGTTTGCGAAGCTTTTCCATTTTTGATTTCAATAACGATAGTCTATTGGATATTGCCGTTGCCAATTATGGCACTAATAACATAGGCGTCCTTCTTGGATATGGGGATGGCACTTTTGGAAACCAAATAGTGCTGTCAACGGGCTTAAATTCTCATCCTTACTCAATCGCTATTCATGATTTCAATAGAGACGGTCAAGCGGATATAGCTGTGGCCAATTATGGTACTAAAAATCTTGTTACATTTCTGGGAAGTGAGAATGGAACATTTGAAAATCAAGCAAGTTACAGTGTAGATTTTGATATCGCTCCATTGGTGATTAGTGCTAGTAGTTTCAACCAAAATGGACGTTCAGAAATTGTTGTCGCATATGAAGGCATCGATCATGTAGATGTGCTTGTTACGTACCACACCGGATCTTTTGATAATCAAATGACATATTCAACCGGTTATTGGCCAAGGACTGTAGCTGTTAGCGATTTTAATAACGATGCCCGATTAGACATCATTGCTGTTAATGGAAAAGACGATACTGTCAGTGTCCTTCTCGGATATGGTAATGGATCTTTTGCAAATCACACGACATATTCAACTGGCTCTGAACCAATCTCTGTAGCTGTTGGTGATTTTAACAACGACACCCAATTGGATATCGTCGTCGCTAATTTCAATAACCACACTGTAAGCGTACTTCTCGGATATGGCGATGGATCTTTTGCAAATCAAACGACATATTCAACTGGCTCTGAGCCAATCTCTGTAGCTGTTGCTGATTTTAATAATGACAACCGATTGGATATCGTTGTTGCTAATTGGGGTGATCACTGTGTAAGTGTACTGCTTGGATATGGCAATGGCTCTTTTGCCAATCAAACGACCCATTCAACTGGGTTTGGCCCATTTTCTATAGCTGTTGCTGATTTTAATAACGACATTCAATTGGATATCGTTGTTGCTAATGACAAAAACGGTACTGTAAGTGTCCTTCTCGGATATGGCAATGGATCTTTTGGAAATCAAATGACATATTCAACTGGCTTTTCACCACGCTCTGTGGCTATTGGTGATTTTAATTATGACACCCAACTAGATATCGTTGTCGCTAATTATTATGACAAAACTGTAAGTGTCCTTCTTGGATACGGCAACGCCTCTTTTACAAATCAAACGATATATTCAACTGGTACTAACCCATCCTCTGCAGCTGTCGGCGATTTTAATAATGATACCCATGTAGATATTGTCGTCACTAATTTTAAGGACAACACTGTCAGTGTCCTTCTTGGATATGGCAATGGCTTTTTTGCAAAACAAATGACATATTCAACTGGCTTTGGTCCATTTTCTGTAGCTGTTAGTGATTTTAATAATGACACCCAATTGGACATCGTCGTTGCTAATGCGAATGGATATAATGTGAGTGTACATCTTGGACATTCCAATGAAGGTTTTCTTAACCAAATGAGGCTTATAACTGGCAGTGGATCTCGACCTAGGTCTTTCGCCATTGGTGATTTTAACAATGACAGTCAAATAGATATTGTAGTTGCGAATTCAGGCAGCAACAAAGTCAGTATTTTTCTGAGATATGATAATGGTTCCTTCGCAAATCAAATAACATATTCAACTGACTCCTCTCCATGGTCTGTAGCTGTTGGCGATTTCAACAACGATACCATACTTGATATCGTCGTCGCGAATCATGACAATGACAATGTTGGCGTATTTCTTGGACAGGGTAATGGGTCTTTTTCAAGCCAAAAAACGTTTACGACTGGTTTTAAGTCTCAACCCAAGGCGGTTGCTCTTGGCGATTTCAACAACGACACTTTGCTAGACATTATTGTTGCTAATTATGGCACAAATAATGTAGGTTTGTTACTTGGATATGGTAATGGCTCCTTCGCAGGCGTAAAGTTTTTTTCGATCGATCATGGATCTCTTCCGTTCTCGGTTTCCGTTGGCGATTTAAACAATGACGGAAAGTTGGATTTCGCCGTTGCCAATGAAGGTGTTGACAATCTAAAAGTTTTCTTACAGACTTGTTAATATTGCCACTGGTGAACTTAGGTTTTTTTTTCACCCACTCACTATTACTAACTTCTACTTAGTGTTACTAACATTTCTTCTAGCTTCTTTTTTTCGGTGTGAGGGGTGAGGGTTGTTTATAATTCATAAATCTTATACAAAGACAAGGAACATCAGGTGAAGCTACCAGAATGCATTTCAAGCTGGCAAAGGATCTGGTCGAGTATGGGTATGAATGTGTCAAGAAAATTATGACGTCTTTCGACCTTGTACCAAGTAACATCAGATAGTTCAGACGAAATGTATCTTTTCAAGTGATGTTAAGATGGTAGAAAAGATAGATAATCTACCATTAGTTTTTATAGGTTTTTTGAGGGATGGACGACATTATAACTGACTACGATCGTGTATCGGTGCAATATGCTAGAGAATGATACTTTTAGTTGTCATAATATTTTTCTAGCGATATGATTTTGAAGTAAGTTGAACACTGGCTGATGTTCTCATTGTGATAAGCCTAATTTTTCTGAATCCTAGCATTTTTTTACTCTCTATAGCTAGTTGATTTTCGGTGCTCGTAATTGAAAGATTTTGAGAAGTCTAATGGAGAGCCTTTATGTTTTGAAAACAAAATGCATGTATTATTGAGTATCTCGGTTATATGTAATTCAATATCGGTATAACATTCGCTTCCGTGGCTGCCATGAGTGAATTCGAGTGCATAGGCGGTAAATAGCAAATTATTATTCTGATGGACCCTATCGCTTCGAATAGTTCTGAGTAGGACGAAGCTGGTATGTTCTACTTGTTATTTATTCAGATAAATAGAAGACAAAAAAAAGATGGATCATCATGAATGGAAGATATTTTGCTCGTCATCCAAGGGAAGTTCTCATCATGATATTGTGGTTATTGGTAGAGATGTTCGAGGGGTGAATGTGAATGTGTATCTTATGTTAAGGCTCACCTACATGCACTCATTACACATCGTCACTTGTGTTCTCACCCACACCTCCCATCCCACACGTATGCTCTCGTTTGAATCGTGACCCACATGCCATTACACTGTCGAATTCGATATTAATTTCTAATTTGTATGCACCTCAGTGCGATAATCTGCAGCATAGATGACGACAGATGCAATGAAATCTTGAGGCTTGCTCAAATGCATCTTAGCAGTATAACGAGCAGTGAGGGTGGGTGTGACTGTGGATATGAGTTGGTTGGATGTGGAAACCAGTGACAGTATAGGCCTGAATTCAGAGCAGACCCACATTCATCCACACCTACACCCCACAAACACATCGCCCACACCCTTCTTTATTAATGTCACTTCTTGAAAATAAGGCTTTCATCACTAAGTAAATAAAAAAAATCATTTCCATTTTAAGATTCATATTGAACAATCTGTTTTTGAAAAATATGTTACAGATCTAACACATGATTAGAATTATTTGAATAATATTTTTTCTGATTATTTTTTCACAATCTTCTAATAACATTTATCAAATAACAATAAGAAGAAAACAACTACTGTTCTACAGCTTATTAAAGAATTAAAAAAAAAAAAAAAGAAAGGAATATTATATATCATCTTTTGAAATTGATTTGTGTTTACATGTGTTTAACACCACTACAAGAATAAGACAAAAGAAATATTAGTGAGAAAAAAAAAGTGCACTAAATCTTCAATATAACAACAAACAAAAAGAATTAACTCGATGGAATGTAAATATATATATATATATATAATTTTTCTCTAAACAGACAAACAATCAGAACTAAGATAAAAGCCTAGGATGATCGCTGTGATCGTCGATAATGGAGTATTATTGCATTAGTTTTCACCGTATATCGCCGTTTTATATGGTTTATAACCAGCCGCGGCGTCGTTCTCTTCCACCTGGGAAAGTACATGGGCATTGCACAATAATTTAAAAGACAGATGAAAAGAACATAAAAAGAACACTAAAAATACATTTAGGTTTTATATTTGACTATAAATGTGTGTTCGATTGAGGTAATGGTTTTGTTGTTCCAAGTGACATATATACAGATTCATATTGTTTGTTATTGAGATTTTCAATGAATAAATCAGCATAATCTGGCTTTTGAGCATCTATTTGACCACATGGATAACGAAGAACATCCGTAGAATTTAAACGTATTGGAATATTCTAAATTTATAAAATCCATAGTTTTTTATTTTTTATTTTTACTAGAATATTATTGAACATACACTATATTTTTCAATAAGTTGACTTAATTGTGAAAATAATTCGTTCTTAGCACCACCTAAAAATCTATAAGCATGTTGCTGTTGTTGTGGTTGCTTTTGTATTCGATTATCACTGTGTTGAGGTGATGAAATAACTTCAATAAGTAAATGACGACAATGATCGGATGCACGATATGATAATGCATAACCAAATATTTTTTCATTTATACGTATTAAATAAGTACCAATTGGTTTTGAACATAGAAGTTGTTCTGTATAAGATCGACTAATAATTCCTAAGAGTATGAATATTGAAATAATCCAAAAGAATGTTGAACAAAATCATATTTACCATGAAACCATGGATATATTTGACCATTTGGAGAACGAAATGTACCATAAGGAATTTCACTTATACAGAACCATTGACGAATATCTTGACGTGTTAAAGGTAATAAAGGTTTACTACAATAAATAACAACAGAAAAATATTATCTATTATGTTGATTTTGATGTTGAAAACTGCGTTAAAAAGCATGTTCGGATAGAAAATATCTTCTGTTAAATTAAAATAAAGTCTTTATTAGTTTTACAAAGTTATTGATACTAAACACGATCTGACTCACTCGCGGACAGATTCGGATTAATTTATGTCAAGTAAATTCATTAAAGTCTAGATAGATCATTGTATCAATGTACTTCTACATAAATGTAAAACTTCAAGTAGTATTGTCTTAGATAATACTAGAGAATAATAACAATGCTATCCTATTTTATCATTCAAATTTTCAAGGATGTTAGTCAATAAAATTGGATACAACGGTGATTGCTTACGTCCTGATCTTTTCGTCTTTTAGATAGACACATTCTGATCTGAACATAGAAAATGAACAAAAATCAACATTGATAATATCACTTTTAATTTTCGGTTAGACATTAACGCTTTCGAAAAGCTAAACATTATGTTGATTTATTGATCTGTCTCAACTTTATTTTAATGTATATTTCATATCTCAATAAAAGTTTAAAATTATGATCAATTAGATTTAACTTCAACAGATCGAATCGACTGACAGTTTCGATAATTTTACAGAAAAAAGTCATCGTCACAAAATATTATATTGAATTATTCAGAATCTGCCACTAAAATGAAAATTTTCTCAACTATAACGCTCAATTAAAGACTTTTGCAAAATTGAACAATGCTTCCGTGAGAGAAAAAAATATTTTTCAAAATATTTCCCCAGATTCTAATATGTTTTCAAAAATTTCTCCGTATAGTTGTACGCGCATACAGGTAGATTCTGCACCTCTGCAATTATGTTAGTATCTCTAACAGGTGTGTAGATATTAGCTTGTTGTTAAAAACTCTATTTAGGACAGAAGATCGTGTCGAGATAGCTGACATGAGGATAAAAAATAATGATTTTTTTTCAGTAAACTAACACATTATAAATTCTCTTGATTCTTAAGTCAAAAAATATGTTCTCAAAGAATTATTCCTTACGATCGATTATGTTCGACAATAGTAAGTGGAAGTGATTCTTGTTCGATTGTTATTATTTTTGAATCATTGATTGATGAATTTGTAGGAATAGGAACATTATTTCCAATGAATTCAATAGGAATTTTTCTCTCATTTTTACTTTTTTGATTGATTTTATTTGATGAGTTTAATGATGATGGTTGAAAAAATATTGTTGTATGATTATCTGTATCAAAACAAACATTGAATTGGGATGAATTTCGACGAAAATTGTCTCGTGCACGTCGTGCTGTTTCACGTCTTTCTCGATCCGCTTTTTTTACACGTTCTTCTATTTCACGATAAAATATTTCATCAACAGTATCGATTTGAGGCATAGGTATAGACAAAGAAGATCGCTGCTGCTGTTGTTGTAAGACTTCATTTCCTTTATTCTATAAACAAAAAAATTGAAGAAGAATCATAAAAGTATTTTTACAATAAGAAGAAAATAAAAACTTCATACCAAAACAAGTCGTTGTGTCTCAGATTCTAAACATTCGAATATACGTCGTGCTTCTTGTATATTATTTGATATTTCTTCAATTTGTTTTCGTCTATGAAAAAGAACAAAACTTAATTATCATACAATATAAAATAAAAATATTATTCGTCTTTATTATATAGCTTCCAAAAAGAGGTAACAAGCTGATTCATATTGAACTTCAATATGATAAACTTACATAAGAGAAAATATCATTCGATGTGTATTGTCTAGAAATACGTCGAATCTACCATAAGGGATAAAATATAGTAAACAAACAATATCTTATTTCTTATTTTTCTTTATTTATTTTCTAATCTTTTTTTTCTTTTATAACAATGAATATAATATTCAGCAAATGTTAATCTATATAACTTACTCGTCACGATGTACCGTATAAAAACTTGCAGATTTCGTTGGAAGAGGATGATTAGCACCAGTGATATTTCTACAGAAATTAGTTATATAAGTAAGTAATAAAGAATGATGTAAAGCATTCTGATTTATAATCTGTTTTAAAAATATGACCTAACCTTAAATGATTTTCATGATCGTTTATAATATTTTCATTGTTAATTCTATCAAAAAGAAATTTAAAATTGAAATATTTAAAAAAAAACAAATCTACGTGTCATTTAGTTGTTCATTAACATTTTCCAGTGATATTTCGGATTCTCCCATGATCCAACAACATTCATTTCCATCATCATTAAGTCGAAATGTAACATGTTTCTTTTTTTTCTTTGTATTCACTACTAACAAAAAAAAACGAAAACCACTCATTTCATTATGAATAAAAAATTAATATTTCTACTTGATGTTATTGTTATTGCTTCTTCATCTTCTTCTTCTTCTTCTCGTTCATGATATCTTCGAACTTGTTCTTCACGCATTTTACAAAAAAGTAATTGTTTTTGTTCTTCAGGTAATCCATCAAGTAATTCTCGTGGAACATATAGATCATGTAAAATCTGAGCGAGCATTTCATCCTCTATAATACAATAAAATTGAAAAAAAAAATAAAACTTTTATTTGTCATCAAAATCAAGGATTTTAATTTTTGTTTTATGTCTACATCAATCAAAAAATTTCTCAACTCGACCACATATAAGGCGAACAACAAAGAATTCGATTGGTTATTTGATCAGCCATGATAGTTGTATAAGAGTACTCTCAATATTCAAACGGAAAACGTATTGGTCTAATCATATGAATGAAAAATACAGGTTATGCTAGTTCATTTCTAATCTAGAATATTAGAAGTGATGATAGCTGATAATGCGCTTATATCCTTTCATCAATATAAAATTACATACCATCACGTAAACAATCGAGAATGCATTTATGTTGAAGAACTATCTATGTTTAGGGAATTTTTCGAATGGTTTTTTTTTTGTTTTAGATTTTAAAATATCTTGAAAAATCTTTATTAATTATTACTATTTTTTCTAAAACAAAAACAAAATACACAATGGATGATGATATACCCATAGATGCTTCTGAAAATCATGAAAATCCTGTTTCTAATGAAATCGGTGATCAACCAACCTTACAACGTAGTACATCAAAAGTACCAATAACACTTAATATTCGTTATAGAAATCAAACATTTCCAATTGAATGTGATTTATATGATACATTAAAAGATGTTAAAGAAAAAATTGATAAATTAACCGATGTTGATCCTCCAGTACAAAAATTAGTTAATAAATCAATTACAAGTGTTAAACGTGATGATGCAACAACAACATTAAAAGATTTAAATATAACTGATGGACAAACATTATTATTAGTTGGTGCAACAAGATCGGAAGTTTTATCAACTACTCGTGGTAGTGTCAATTCAACTGAAAACAAAGAATCAACAAATGATCAAGCATCAACAAATAAAAAAGAACCATTAAGTAAACAAACCAAGCATGAAAAAGTATTAAAAGCAGGTTCGTGAATATAAAAATTGAAAACAGACCAAATTGAAATAAATTACATGTATTAATTTGTAGGTAAACCAGATAATGCTCAAATAGGTATTCGTAATAAACATGATCCATTACCTCAATCAATCGATGGTTTATACATGTCAATGTTAAATCATGCAGCTAAAAAAGCACGATTAACATTTAAACTTGAACTTGATGAATTATGGATTAATACAGGTAAGAATAGAATATTATCTTTTTGAGAAAATCCTTTTTTTTAAATTAGCGGAAACAACGAAAAAAATACCAATGACCCATATACGAAATATTATTGATGAACCAATCGAAGGACATGATGGTTATTCAATTGTAGGATTTCAAACGGGTACAACGTAAGTTGATTGGATTTTTATAATTATGCAAAGAAAAACATTGTTTCTTTTTGGAAATTTTTCATCAAAGAGAAAATTCAATTATTTGGATCTATTGGTGCCCATCACAATATGTGAAATCAATTCGTCGAGAAATTCTTTCAGATCATTAAATGATGATCGACTCTCTTTTCATTTCTATTCAAACAAACTGACGAACGAATCGATCGAATGTGCTCTTCTTATTATGATTACATTTTCTTTCTTTTCTTTTCTTTTTTACACCATTAAATGTTGACTTCAAGTCTTTAAACATAACTAAAATTAAATAAAGACAAAAAAAAAAAGAAATCAAATCCTTATTTCAGAAATATAAAATGATTAAACAAGAAAACAAATCACATGTATTCTTAAAAGATTCACAAATAAATACTCTTGCCGGTGCAGCATCTGGTGTATTTGTTAGCATTCTTGTTAGTCCACTTGATGTTGTTAAAACGCGTATTCAAGTTAAACGTTTACCAAAAGGTGTACCTGATACACCATTCATACTTACAATGTATCGATTATGGCAACGAGAAGGTTTTCGAGCATTTTCCAAAGGTTTAGGAACAACAATGTTGGTATGATAATGATTTCTTTTATTGAAAATTATTATTTTATTCAAGTTCTAGGGTTATGTACCTAATTGGGCAATTTATTTCAGTGTATATCAATGGTCAAAAAAACAATATGCAAAAAGTTTAGCAACCATTCAATCTGAACATGACATGTTAATTAATTTACTTTCATCTGTTACTGCTGGTGCAATATCAAATACACTTATGGCACCAATATGGACTATTCGTACACGTATGATGACCCAATCAAATCATAACGATTATAGAAATTCATTTCATGCAGCAATAAAAATTTATAAAACAGAAGGACTTCGAGCATTATATCGTGGTGTTGTACCATCAATGTGGGGTTTGGTAAATTGATTTAATTTCTTACAGTATACAGACAACAAGTCTCATGAGTGACACAAGATCAACTTCGTAGGAGAAACAATCAGCTTTTGACTGAGTCTATTTGTTATGATATATATGGATGTTAGAGTATTAAATTGCCCGACAATGTATTATGAATTTCAAATTAACGTAATAAGTTTGTTTGTTTTTCAGAAATTTTTATAAATCTTCTTAAAAAGAAAAGTATACATGTCAAGGCTACTTTTATTGGTAACGACACATAAAAGAGGATTAGTCATTGATTTTCAACCATTTAATGTTGGTTAATTAGACACATTATTGACTGTGACCCAACGGTAAACTTTGGAGACCGTTTACTATGACAAAAGAGAATTCAAATAATTAAAATGTCAATTATGTTTTACTCGACTCCTTGAAGACAAGGTTACTGTTAAGAAAACAAAAGTTTTTGAGGATGTGATCAGTACAGATTTTCTCTTCAGCTGAACCCACATCTTCACAACAGGATCATCAGAGATATGCGCAAAGTAATTAGAAGTTGATTCGACACCAAACGTATATGTACGTCTGCCGTTCTCAATGAGTTACATAAAACCACAAGATTATGATTGAATCTTTCTATTTACACTACAAAATCGTATTGAAAATATATATATGTTGGATTAAGTAGTCTTACTCTAATGTAAACAGGAGACGCGGGAAGCCATAGGAAAGCAATAAGTTTCGATTGCTTCTCCACATTTTGCGTAGGAGAAGCAATTGGTACGTCTTGTAGTGTCTGACACATTGCTCATAAAAAAAAAAAGTTATGAATTTATGCAAAAAACTTAATTTAACTATCATATTTTTTGAATTTAAATCAAAACTAAATTTATGGTTTTGTTTTATCAATATAGATCCATGTTGGTATTCAATTTCCATTGTATGAATATCTTAAAAAGAGATGTGCAGCTGGTTCATCTTCTGATAGTCATTTATCGATAAAACAACTAATGTTTGCATCCAGTCTTTCAAAATTAATAGCATCTTTCTCTGCATATCCACATGAAATAGTTCGTAGTCGTCTTCAAGATGCAGGTCATGCTCGACAGTTACAACAACAATCTTCAAATCCAAATGTAAAATTTCATGAATACCGAAATGTACGTGATGCAGTTAAAACAATTGTTAAAGAAGAAGGTATACGAGGATTTTATCGTGGTATTATACCTGCTCTACTACGAACAGTACCTGCAGCAACGTTAACATTATCATCATATGAAAAAATTAAAGATTTTCTAAGCGATAATTATGGTGAAGCATCGGTACCGAAATAGAGTATATTTTTCTTGTTTTTTTTTTTACTTTGTATCTATTAACCTTGCTGAAGTGTGTTTTTTATTTAACTCAGCGTAGATGATAATATTGTTAAAAATTTTCTTTTAATACGAATTAATAAAAATAATTTCATCAACGTTTCTTCGTTAATCTTATTTTCAAATGCCAAGAAATCTGAATATGCCTGCGCATTACAATAGTTGAGTTAATTTTTCAATGATATAGATTTTGTAGAAGTCGTACGTTATGTTTTTCTTTAATTCGAAAAACCAATAAATAGATAGTAAAATTTTTATGGGTAAAAACAACAAATTTCTAAATAAAGTCCTTGCTATAAGTTCTAGGACAATCGAAAACAGTTTCTAAATATTTTATGTTTAGCGTTGTTATTAATCAAGCTTTTGTATGTTATTCAACAAAAAAAAAATATTTTTCTTTGATACAAACAAAATAGCATCACATCTAAAATTTCCAGCAGATAAAAAGTTTTAGGCAGAGCTAAGCCAGGGTAGTCAGCATGGTAGGGATGTCACGTTCTTTTTGAGAGAGTGCAAACATTTTTTCTTCTAATAGAACACCAGAAAAATTTTTCATGCTGCGGGATGTCACATACCCGACACCTCTTTCCCACTGGGTTAGACTATATCTTGTTCCGGAACATTTTTCGTTCTGTTCACGTATTAATTTTTCTTCGCTTTCAAATATGTAGTGCTATTAGAAAGACAAATCTGTGGGCTGAACAACGCTTGAGTTGTTAAAAGTAACTACTGTGCAACATGTGAAATCATGTGATCCTTTGCTCATTAGGAAGAGCAGAGTACATTCAACAAAAAAATGATGTTATAATAGTGAAAAAGAAACATCTATTTATTAACTTAAAAAGTAGCTTGGTATTTCAGATTTTCTATTTTTGTCATCTAGTAATAAATCATTTAATGTGTCAGAGAGTTCAAAAACATTTTTTTTGTCGAATGCATTCTTCTGTTTGCGTTAAAAACCAATAATTTCTTTGCTCAATAAAATCTGAAGACTTGGTCAGGAACACTGCCTAAAGTCAAAGTTTCCTTAATTGACAATTAAAATAGATTCTTCCATTTATATTCTTTCCAAATTGGACTCTGATCAATCTTTCAATGAAGACCAATGTAGATAATAATTAAAGTTGAAGATATGTATAATGTTCGTGTTTTATGAGGTAGATATCTAACTGTTATATTCGCTATTGTTGATACCACTTGTTCGTCATACTTTATTGTACGACTACTGAAAAAAACCAGAAAGTGTCGAACTATTTGAGCTTTCAATACACTGTCAAGTGCGTAAACAACATCTGTATTCAGTGGCGAGTTTGGAAGTGGTAGTTGCTTTTGACTTCATCCAAACCGAAACTCAGATCCTAGTT